TCCACTGAACCACAGATATGGTAAGGGTTCTATAATAAAAGTCTAGTAGTGAGAGTTTACAAAATATGGACTTTGAATCCTACACTAGACCCTAAACTATGGAATTCTTACTATAATGGAAATCCAACAGTAAAAGTCCACACTAGAAAGTTGATACGCGTGCAGTGATGAAGGTCCTTACTTTAAAATTAAAAATAGAGATTATATATCTTTATATAATTCTTAACTGGATCCAATTTTTACCAAACCTTTTCTATGTTTAGGCCCTTTCATTGTTGAAAAATAAAAATATTTACATTCATATTCTGAATATATATTAATTAATATATATTTTCAATTTTAAAATTCCGAATTAATGTATTTTTAATAAAATCATAATGTTAACATTATCATAGAATAATTACAACTCCTATTAATTAAAAAAAGCAAATAAACTTATGATCATTTTAAATTAAGTTTTACTTTTTTATTTAAAAAAATCCTCCTCCTCCTCCTCCGCATCTTCATCCTTTTCTCCTTCTCTTTGTTCGTATAGATGTATTGAATTTTTTATAACCTAACGAAGGATTCATTTATCTTATCTCCTAAAAAGTTTCAACAAATAAAAGGAAAATATTCGAATTGTTTAGTGAATTTTTAAGTTTTTGTAATTATTTTCTGCACGCATCCATCAAATATTTTCAATAGAACGCCTAAACCACATCAATTTCTTCTATTTTTTTTTTCTATCCTTAAATCTAGATAGAGCCTGTGTTTAATGTAGCGAATAACAACAAGCTGTAACTGGTAGTGAGAAAAGTACAGTGAAACGTTTTTAGAGCATTCAACGATGATAAATTGCCACTTTGTGGACCTGATGCCTTTTATTTTCTTCTTTAGCAGTATTCATGCCCCTGCCAAAATCACCACAAGAAAGATTTTTCTGTGGACAGTATCCAACTCCTCTGTCAAGATAGTGTGTATCCTGTCAAATGCGGTTATTACCGACTTTCTTTCTAGCAAAATGATGTCACTATTGTACAGGATCAAACAGGTAATCTTATACGTTAATCCTCTTCACTCTATTTGTTTACAATGTTCGTTTATCTAACGTTACGTATAGATTATTACGTAGAGTACAAGGGAAGCTACACTAGGATCGAACGAAAACAATGAGCTTAATTAAATGAAGTAAGCGTTAATGAACCCGATTTCTCATTAATTTCAACTTTAAATTTTCTAAATTTATCATCATATTAGATTTTTATTGTTAGAAATTGTTCTGATATCGAAATACTTCCATAGCAACGTAGCAATTTGGTAAGTGAAATATCAATTTGGAACCATGCTGGATCAAGAGAAAAATGCTATTTTTTTACTTTTGTGAGCTTGTTGAAAACATATTTTTCAGAAATATTTAAAACTTTGAATGCAAAATTTTGTAATATTAAAATAAAATTCAACTTTTTGCATTTAATGAGTGCTTAATAATGTTTATGCAGCGATACAATTTATATATTTTAATGTATTTAAAGTGAAAATCTATTAAAAAAAACTTTTATCTGAAGTATAAAAAATCCCTTTAAGTATTAATTTAAACAGATCTTTTGATCTCACTTGATTTTATTTGAATTAAGATCCATATAATGCTGTTCTCAAACTGATAGCTTCGCAGAACGGATCGCTAATTAGAAATTAACCATTATAATTAAATGGCCTGCCAAATTTAATTTGAATTTTACATAAATCCTTTTGCTATAGGCAATTGGATTGCCAGCCGAGTTTTCAGCTAGAATTTATTTACTCTCGTGAGATTATGGAATCGTTAACGATCAAAACAATCGTGATCTATGGAAACTATTTCTTCAGAGACTATCAAATCCTTAAGATTAATACAATAAACAACTATTCGAACTTCAGAAAATATTTAAGAATTAAGTACAGATATTGCCTATAATTTCCCTTTATTATAAAGGTATAAAAATTGTTTTCTAATTTTTAAAAATTTTAGAATTTCATACAGAAATTAAGTAGTTAAATACACTTTTTAATCCCCATTATATCTGTAAGATATGCTACAATAAACAATATTGTTAAGGCATGAACATTAAAACAAGAAAAACAAATCTCAAATAATAGAATATCATAAATAAATTCGGTACAAGGGTGTAAAGATTATTCTCTGCTCACCACCATGACCATTCTTCATGTCATTGACTACATTGATAAAGTGTTAACAAAAGTCTAATGAAAAGAATAAAGTTTGAACATTTAGATGCTCTTTTATCGTTTCACCGTTACGCTTTCTTCTTATACAAAAGATCTGCTTCAAGAACTTTGCTTTTACAAGGAAAAAAGACATCTTTTATAGCATTTAAAATGGAGTAATATACGATTGTTCACATGCTCGAGTTGACTACTTCAAACAGAGCATCCAATATATATTTTGGATGCTCTGAAATTTATCTCCATACTTTTAAATTTTATTTAAAATTCTCTTAAAAATTTTTGTAGTTTATTAAACCATGAGAATTTGCCTTATAATCCTCTTAAGCTGATTCTTTGGAACGATACCCAACTCTAAATTATATCTACAACAAGTTATTCATTGTTAGGTGTTATAAGATGTTGGATTTATCAAATTATCTTAATAATTTTCAACTTCTAAGTTAGTTTATCCAGTAAAATATTAATAAATTTTATTTATGTTAAACAAAAATGTCTTTTATAATGTAAATAGTGATTAAAATGAGGACAAATGCTTTCTTTGATGTTTACATTGCATAACAAAGTATTATAATAAAAAGTGATTGCAAAAATTAAAATAATTAATAATAATCATCTTTATTC